ATATATATATATATATATATATATATATATATATATAAGGTAATAGATAAATAAATAGATAATCACAGATGGATATAGTGAGTGTTAGAGTAGAGTAATGAACCTCAGATGCGTCGCATTCCTCGCAATAAGCCCAACCCAAGTGTAGCATATCCAACGGCGCCCGGTGCAATACCACCAGGACCCAACTTTGTAGTCACATATCGTAAACGATTCTGAACCAAAAATTCAATATCATTTTTATCCAACACCCCATCTCCATTCACATCTGCCAATTCTTTTAACTTTTCTTGAAATGCCTTTTCCAACACTTTTTGGTTAACAAAGTTTTTCTGTGCCAGATACTGCAGCGCACTGTATGCCACCACACTGGTGGAAATTATAATAAATTTACTGCGGTATAAACGATATGCCAGTCTACCAGCAAAATAACCCACTGTGAAACCAAAAGCACATTGGCCTGCCAAAGGAAGAACGGCATTTAATGTACTCTCATTACGTCGGAGCATATTCTTAAGATCGCGATCGTATAAAATTTGAAAATCACGTGGAGTGAGACGTCCATCCCCGTCGGCATCAAGTGCCTTCAGTACTTGAGCATAGACACGATTCCCAAGTTCACTTGACGCAAATTTCTGAAACTCTTGGTTGGAATTAAGAAGGTTAAATAAGGCATCTCGGGCATCAAAAAGATATTCAAAGACCTTAAACGTATTATCTTCATTCCGTGGTTTCCCAAGCGTTAAGGCGAGATCAAGTGCATTCTCCAAATCTTTTGTGTTCAGTCGTTGATCTTGAAATGACTCTGGCGATTGGGATGACTGTGATTGTGCATTAGTAGGTGCCATTTGCTTTTATGGATATATATATATATATATATATATGTTATTCGTTGAGCTAGAATCCCTAGAAAATCAGAGGCAAGAAAAAAAAAAAAAACGAAAAGAATAGACAGCAAAGCAAAATGCAAATAGATATCATAAAGGTTGATGTCTAATCTGCTTCTATTTTTTTTTTCTCTTTTAGTAAAAGATTTTCATAAAAAACAAATATAAATATAAACATATAGAGCAAGAAATATAGAGGGAAAAGAAAAGAGAAGAACTCCAAGGAAAGAAGAGTAGTGCGATTAGTGTGACTTTTTCTCTTGGATGTCAACACAACACACTAGTTCTTACTGCTTAATGCAATATTACAGAATAAATAAAAATAAAAAATAAACTCACTATAATACAGTCCTTGTTTACAACAATTTTTGTAGAGTCAATACAAGAAATTCTCTCATATAAAAAGAAATATTAACAGAATAAAAACAAGAATAGAAATAAATAAGGTTCACAGCATTACCCCTCTCATGATCAATACATCTATCCACATACAGGCAACAGAATTTCCCTCACTCGAAACTGGCACTTCTGTCCATTAAACGATAATCAACTGCGAGGCGGCAACGACCAAAAGGCGTTTCATTACTTTAGTCCTCCTTCTTTTTCCATCGTTTGAATTCCCACGTTTCCATCACTGCATTCCTGATTATTTTCTTTTTCTTTTTTATTTATCTACCTCATTTCCTGTTTTCAATATAGAAAACTACTTGTATTTGGCTGTAGTCTTTCTAGACACACTATCAACCTCAACATCCATTACGAAAACAGCAAAAAAAAAGAACCAAAACAAGGAGAGAAAAAGAACTAGGATTTGGAAGAAAGTATATACATATACACATCCATAGATATAGAAATATGCCCCCAAACAGAGACACGAAGTGCAAGGAAAAATAAAATAGGAAAACAAACTCAACTACACAATTTTTACAACAGAAACATATTCACTTTTTTTTTTAAATTTTTATTTCTTTTCAGACTCATTCTCTGTTCAAAAGTTCTATACAAATTATACATATATATATATATATATATATATATATATATGTATATGCCAAATATATGCGTCACCTTACTCAACTCTTTCTCTCGCTATTTATCTGTATTACCTTCTCTACCGACCAACGGGCACATGGTTTTATAAGCCCACCCATTTCTAGTGCCTCATAGAGAGTTAGTAATTTATTTCGTTCATTTACTTTCAGTTATCTCCTCAGAATTGCTTTTTTTTTTCCTTTTCTTTTTCCAACTCTCGTTCCTTCTCACGTTTTTTTTTTTCTTTTTTTATTATTTACTCTTCCTATTTGTTGTAATGACTGAGTGCTGTAGAAAGAGGAAAAAAAAAAAACAGCAAGTAGGTTATATAAGGAAGAAAAATTGGAAAAAGAAGAAGTCATCAAGAGAAAGAAAACTCCATTGAAAGGGGAAGAACAAATAGAAACTACCAGTGATACCGGTTTGGTCCCTCTTCCACTTCAATATTCGCTATAAACGAAGGAAAACGCATGTGTAGGTAAAGTACATAAAGCGACGTCCACAATATACATATGTACAAATATATATATTGTGAAAAAAAAACAGCAGAAATATTGCTCTCAAACAGAAACACGGAGTCAAACGCACTGATAAATACATACATAAATACATACACTATGGGCGAATACAAAAAAAAAAAAAAAAAAGGAAAAAAAATAAATACAAAAAAAAAAAAAATCATAGAACAAGAGCGAGATATAGAATCTATTCTTCAGATAGTAAATAAAAGTACCTCGAA